GAGTCAAAGCATTCAATAATAACATTCAACACTTCCTATTTCCTTCAGGAACAAACTCCAGATACATTCAACAAATGCTAGGGAAGGAGTTTGTTTTAAGGGAATAAGTAGACTATTACTTTTAGAAATATTAAAAAAAAAATCTTTAAATGATTATTTTAAACTAATCATCTTAATTAGAAACCATTCTGTTGTTTTTCCTTGGACCAGAGACTGTGACCTGGAAAGGCAGGGCCTGCACGCTACTGTGACTGTTAAGATTAATTTTTCCTAGAGAATAATGTCCTTCACATGTTTACAAACTCTGAAATCAACACAAATTGTTCATTCCCCAATGTCCCTATACCACATTCCTTATAAGACCCAAAGGACCAACTATTTCTTCCTTATTTTTCCTCTGAAAATTCTGACTACTCTGTAATTTTTTTCTCTTAAGTGGGATTAGATAACCTTCTTTTAGAAAATCGATAGGTTAAAAAAAACACTAAACAATGAGAAATATTACCTGAAAGTATTAACAATGTGCATTTCTGCTAAGCATAACCAATAGTTAACATTACCACAATTTAAGAATCATTAAATAATCATGAACTAAAATGACCAAATAATCTACTTAAACCTAAAGCAGTTTGTATTCAAAACCTAAAACAATTTTTTTTCCAGAAAAACACAAGGTCAGGGTCCCTCTCTCACAGAACAAAAAGCAGAAAAAAAAAAAACAAAACAAAACAAACAAAAAAACCAGAAGCCTAATAACTTTTCTCTGGAGACATGTTTCTTCAATAAGTGTTTTTTTCTCCTCAGATTTAGCGTGAGAAGCGTATGACCGCTTTGGTTTTGCTGTCACTTCACCACTGGCTCAGATCAGGTCCGGTTGATGCAAAGTGCAACCGCTGAGCAAAAGAATGCTTTTGCTCCATGCTTTCCAGTGGCCTGGCACGCACACGCACACACGCACACACAGACATACACACACACATCTACGGAGCGTGCTCAAGGATTAAATTAAAGCACTGTTACAAACCAAGCATTATTTCTGCAGCTGGTTTTCTTAAATAAACTGGCTTTGAAAATCATTCTAATGACAAGAGCATTAAGAACAGGGAAATTATAAATTAATTTTACTTTTTACCTCTTCACCAATTTTAGTTTTTGGTAGAATGCAGAGCAAGAATTTATGCTTCTCTTCCTCCAAATTCAATACAAATAAAAACACGTACAAGTAACTTAAGGACTCAGAAAATGAATTAAGCTTTGACACCAAACAAATAAAAGTCCTAAAAGCAAAGCTCAGGTTTTTCCTCTTTCAAATTGAGCTAACAACGAACACGTTTCTATAAAACCCAAAACCTCATTCTCTACGTGCTGAAATATTAAAGTAAAAAAAAAAAAAACTAAGATACAAAAAAAAAAAAAAAGAGGAATTATTAGTGACCTCCAGTACTTTCTTCCTTCTGTCTTACCCTAATGTCAATGCCCTTGGTTTCTAAAACAAGAAAAATATATTAATAATCTAGTACTCTGGGCAGTTATATTTGTGGTGAAGTTTTCTGAAACGGATATCTGACTGCATTTTCATACACTAAGTTGATTTCCCTTCAAGCATATCTTGCCTTTATACCTAGTGCAATGACTCACAGCTAAATCCTTGTCTTGCAACCACCAGGATCCCTGTGGACACCAGTCTGTGCTCCAGCTGCTCCACTTCCCATCTAGCACCCTGCCTGTACCCCAGGAAAGCAGCAGAGGACTGTGCAAGGCCTTGGTACCTGCATTTGGATTCTGCCACTGCAGACACCTCGGGAGTGAACCAGTGGACAGAAGATTTTTCTGTCTCTCCTCTTCTTGCTTGTAAATCTGCCTTCCCAATAAAAATAAACAAATCTTACAAAAACTAAAAAGTGTCTTGCCTTAGAATGACGACATAACTGAAAGCTCACATGCCTGTGAGTAAGCACCCTGAGGGGACACACGCCACCTCTGTGGCCTTGGCAGCTGTCCAGTGCACGTCCACTGGACACATGGCCTATCCCACCCAGACTAACAACATGGATGCAAACCCAGCTCCGTCCTATTCCTGCCCCTCAGGTCAGAGAGACACCAAGAACAGGAGCCTCATGAGGACTCCCATCAAGCTGCTGACTCTCAAAACTCCTGAAAGAAGTCCAATCACACTGAAACGCCACAGCAGTACAATCCCCCAACTCACACGCCTCCTCCTTTCGCAACCACAAAAAGCCACCTCTAAAACCCAATTTTAAAGAATATTAGCAACAATCTGCAAAGGTAGAACTTATTTCTCCTGAAACAGCAGATACTCCAGGACACAAACATAAAGCAAGTAAAAAATAGTAACTCCAGCAAACAGCAAACCATTAGGTCTCTCCACGGAAGAACAGTAAAAAGGCTTCCATAACTAATCATGCCTCTGTTTCCCAAAGTTTAAAAAGGCTATCACTGTGTTGACAAAAGCAGTCATCACTGACTTCACTAAACTGGAGGCCCACTGTAAATAAAATTACCAACTTCCTGTAACTGTTTTGGGTGCCTATGAAACCATGAAAACAGCAATTCAAACAAGAAATATATTTACAGTGCCTTATCTCATAGGAGACAGAAAAGTCCAAAGAGGTAATTTTCACTTTCACTGCATAGAGAAAAATGAAATCCTCCCACGAGACAAGGGAGACAAAACCAACTAACCCCCACAAAACTTCCTATATTTACTTAAAAGCTTAAATCAGAGGTCAGAATTTTGAAGCTTTAGTAGCACGTACAAATTCCAATGGACACATATACCAACACTGTTTTACCCCCCAATTTGAGGGCAAAATGTCAACCTGCTTACCCCCGAAAGAAAGGGGCTTTGGGCACTTGTCTAAGACTAAAAACAGACAGAAAAAAAAAAATCTTACGGAAAGAAAACTTTCGAAGAGTAAAAAAAAGGAGAGTTTTGACCTGGAAGAGCGAAGAACGTGAAGAGGGAAAGATGGGAGGGCGACTGCGCTCACACCTTCGCGGGGGAGCAGGGGAAGATGAACCCGGAGCAAAGGAGCCCCCCCCCCAGGAGCTGGCTCGGGCTGACCCTCCATCCTCACCTCCCCTCCAGGAGCTAAGTCGGCAAAGGCCGCTCTGGGGCAGCCAACGGGTGGGGGATGCGGAAGGGCGCAACAGCATCTCAGCCAGGCAGGGAAGAAAACTTTGCAAGAGGAAGCGGCTACTTGGCCGGCCAAGTTGCCGGAGCCGCAGCCCTGCCCCGACGGCCCACGGAGCTGCGCAGCGCTGTCCCCTAGCGCCCCGTCCCGCAGCCTGCCCCCGGGGGCCCGTCCCCCACCCTGCCCCCAGCACCCCGTCCCCCAGCCTGCCCCCGGGGGTCCGTCCCGCAGCGCCCCGTCCCGCAGCCTGCCCCCCGGGTCCCGTCCCCCAGCACCCCGTCCCCCAGCCTGCCCCCCGGGGGCCCGTCCCCCACCCTGCCCCTGCGCCGTTCCCCAACAAGCCCCCCAGTCCAGTCCCCGAACAAGCCCCCAGCATCCCCCCAGCGCCCAGTCCCCCAGCCTGTCCCCAGCGCCCCGTCCCCCAACAAGCCCCCCAAGTCCAGCTACGCTTCCTTTCCTCATCTCCCCGACGCATCCCAACTAAGTTCCGAGCAAAGCTCGCGCCCTCGGCGTGGCCCGTCCCAGACAACAGGTGGGCAGCGGCGCCAGCAGGGCTGGGCCTCTCCCGGCCAGGCCCACTCCAGCGCTCCCGGCCCGAGCCCGGGGGTGCCCGGCTCTGGGACAGGGAGGGGAGCTCGCTCCCTTACCTCCGCCATATTTGCCGTACTGCCGGGTCACATCTCCGCGGCGGCCGCAGCTGGGTCACGGCCAGAACCCGGATGTGAGAGTCGGCGACGGGACTCCAGCCGCTGCTGCCGTCTCGGCTGCTCCCGCCGCGGCGGCCTCGGCGAGAACGCGCAGGAGCCGCCCGAGCGCGCCCACCGCGCTACACTCCGCCCCCTCGCGGCGCCCGGCTCGGCGAGGCTGGAGGGAAAGGCCGGCGAGCGCGCGTGCGCGGCCCCGCGGCCAGCCCCCGCGCGGGGTGTGGGGAGGCGGGCCCGGGCGCAGTACCCAGCGGGCCCGCGGGAGGGCGCCGCACCTCGGGGCGCCGGCAGCAGAGTCCGCTGCACTTTGAGAACCACTGTCCCCAACAGGCAGATTCCGGACAAGAAACGTCAAATCGCCAGTTCCGAAATCTGAAGAGGGTTCACAGCCAAGATTAAGAAAGGGGATTTTTTTTTCTTTTTAGGTCATCTGTCTCGTTTGCTTTTCCTCACGTACTTTCCTTGACGCCAGTAGCAAAATCGTTGCGCAACACACAAGATTTAAAACTGAGCTTAAAATTTAAGACTGAAAAGCTTGCTTTTTAGTGAGTATAAGAGAATGTCCTGCTTGACTGTAACTATTGGCAAGGCCTGCAGTTTTGGAGTTTAGTGCGCTGGCACACAGTTCAATTGTCTTGATGCTAACACAGCCAACTGGCCCCGACCAATGATTTCAAAGTTACAAGATGTTTCACTTTCAGTACTGGGGCAGATCCCGGCGAACACAAAACTGATACCAAAACCAACACTACAGCATATTGTACTAACCCAGGAATCTAATCAAAAGATACTTTTCCTTTACAAAAAAGATCTTCCTGGCCTCTTCTTAATTTCGAAAATGACTACAACAATCAATCACTCAAATATGAGAACAACTAATTCCCTCCAAATCATGTGATGACAGGGCTACAATATTGTAGGAATGTCTACATATACAATTTTTCTTAGAATTCATACTTATACTGCAATAAAGGGTAGGTTATCTTCAATTACTTGTGTTTTCAAAACTCCAGATGCCATCACACATTATCCTATTTCCAAAGATTTAACATAAACTTCAAACTCTGGCCAGTAATAATTTGCGCATTAAAAAACTGCATTTACAGGAATATGAAGTAGCTGCTAAGTGAAAGGACATTACCTGGTAATTTGACAGGAAAAGAGTCCACAGACAGTCTGTAAACCAATTAAACATAAACATCTGATGCACATTTTCTACTGAAAGAAAAGCAAAGGAAAGAAGAGAAAGGAAAACTTTAAGGTTCCCAAGTCTACAAACAATTTTTACTATTAACTGTACTGTTTTATTAACTGCATTTTCATTTTATTAATTAGAAAAGTTTTTTTCAGGATTCCTTTAGGGGATAAATATCCTAGTATAATAAAACAGTTTCTAACAGTTACTCAAATTATCTTAGTCCTTTCGATTTGAAATAAAAATGCCTTTTTAAAACTTTCAGTTCGTATCTGGTTTTCACTTGATACACTTGTTCGAAGACCTGAAGGCAGAGAACAACAGACACCCATGGACCTGAGATGGCTACAAACAAAAATGGTCAAGGGGCCCAGAGGTTACAGAAAATCAGCTTTATGCTAAGAGGATGGAGGAGTAGTTTCCATTAAAATACAAAAAGCTAATACCTAAAGTACACCTTGCCACCAAAAAGAAAAAGAAAATGTTACTACATGATACATGATCAACTTGCTTAAGTCCAATGAGTCTCTATTCTTCACTTAATATCAACAAAAATTCCAACTGCAATAGAGAGCGGAGAGAGTGCTGGGTCCTCCGGCTGCTCAATGAATCCCAAAGCTGTCAGGACAACTGAGACCTTAGACTTTTTGTATGACTATCTATCTTACTATTAAATGACTTACACATGTACTGCCTGTCAACATTACTAACTTCAAATGGCATCTTTAAAAGCTTCCCTCTACATTTTTCTCTTCCTCTTTTTAGGGAATGTGGGTTCAGTGATTTTCTTAGATTCAGATACTGTGACCAGTAACAGCTCTGACATGTAAGTCCAAGGCAGACATTATTACTCAATTTGTATCCATCCACTCTCATTCTACTGCAGTGACATATTTATCTTTCTCAAAACTTGCTTACCTTCTTTAGTAGCACCTACGTAAAAAACCGGGCTGGGTATTTGATCTAGAGAGGTTAAGCCTGCGCCCCACATCCGGGTACCTGGACTCAGTTCTCAGGCTCCAGCTCACACACACTTAGGAGGCAGTGGGTGATGGCTCCTAGCAGCTGGGGTCCTGTCACCCCACCAGGGGCAACCTAGACTGAGGTGGCCATCATATCCTGGAGACGTGAATTAGCATATGGGAAACCTCTCTGCCTCTCAAATAAATACATTTTTTAAATAAAGAACTATTAATTAGTCATAGAAGCTTTGTGTTACATGGGCCCCTAGGGGTCTTCCCTTAGGAATCCTCACAATGATTTACCATCAGGCCTGTCTACGCTTAACACTTCCTGCTGAGTTACTACAATATATGAATGAAGAGGCTGTTCTTTAAAAGAAAAAAATGTTTGGAGCAGTTTTCCTTTCTTTAGTAAGAATCTACTTCCTTGTTATTTCCATCCATTACCCTTCATTCTTCAGCACTTTGGATTGATATTTTATTTGTATTCAAATGCAAACAGTCAATATTTATGCTTAGGCTAACAAAAACGCATCTTAAAGTGATACAGCTAAAGCTATAAGAAAATTCACCATTAAATATAATGTTTCAAATGATTATGCTTTGTATTACTCAATGATATTCAAGATGGTAGTTGCTAGACTGTGTAGTAAAATGTTTAAAGTTGAACTACAAAATGTGGTTAATTCCAATTTTATATGAGGTTTGTGGTTAATGTCCCGGAACAAAAAAAAAAAAAAAACCTCACTATACAAAGCCTAAATAAATGCTTCTCTAGCTTACACTTGCCACCTAACAGGCTCCTGGTTTTTTCTTTCAAGCAAACTAATACAAATTTTTATCATGTTAAACTACTCAAACTGCTACTATATTAGAAAATTATTCTTAGGTAGTTACTGAATTCTCCAAAAATCATTAAACAGTTTTTAACGGTTTTAAGGTATACACACACATTTGCACACAGGCTTGCTTTTACCTTAAGCACTTGCACTGATCAATAAACTTCTTTAGCACTGCACATACAACCAAGAAAAACAGCCTTCTATTCTGTCCCAGTAGCTGACTCAAATACTAGTAACATACACATCTACACTAAATAAACCCATTATGCAACTCAGAAAGCTACCTCTCAAAGCATACTTGTACTTTTCACAATTTAAACTCTGAGGCTGGTTGAAACACCGAAAGCCAATACGCTAAAATCCTAAAATCTGCTTCTATATCTCATGATTTTCAGGGTCCATGAATCCCCTTTTAAGGTTGTTTTGCAAATTATTTCCTAAAAAAATTTTTCTTTCAAAAGCAGTCTATACTATATCTTTATAATGTGGAGGTTAAAATGTACAGGTAATTATTAATTTGGTTTGAAAAAAGCTTAGGCATCAAAAACGCTGTTTTTAGAAACGACATTTTAGGTAAACTGGATTGACCTTTATTTTAGTAGGCGGAATGCAGGTTGCAAAGCAGCAATGCGCCAGGTGTGGAAGACGCCCACCTATGCGGCAATCAGCATCACCCTGTGGTTAGTAGTGTTTTTATTATTAACAGCACCCCAGAACACCTTTTCACTCTTTCAAGAACAGCTTTAGCTTTTGTTTCCACGGTTTTTACCAAGTTTTATTCACTGGGATTTTTTTTGTGTCTTTTAGCAAGTTTTGTCCATAGGATTACAAACTGACGTATTCACAGTTCTTACAGTAACTTACAGGTAACTGTCATCTCGCCCCAAATCTGAACGTTACTGGCCCATCCACAGATCGTAAACCCTGGAACACCTACGGCTTGAGGGAGTCCGGGATTTCCCTCCCTTCATCTCCAGGTGCACCCCTGCCTACCAGCATCACATCCGTCTTGTCTGCATTGAACCTCAACCAGTTGGTTCTTAACCACGTCCGAAACTCAGCCAGGCACTGGGAGAATCGCGCCACCACACCATCTGGAGCAAAGGAAAGAGAGCCTCAGTAGCATTGGGACCAGAACCGCTGAGACCACAAGCTCAGCATTCACTCCACCGCACAGCTTGGGGAAAACACGGCCGAGGACCAGGACAAGGATCCCGCCAGTTTCCTAAAGAGACATGAACGAGCTCTGAGTCATGCACATCTTAACCGACGGCCACCGTAAACGGGGTACCTCATTCCGCCCGTGAATAAAAGGTTCACGCAACTTTCAGTCATTTCGGTAACGTGGCCACTATAGCCAACCTAGTCTGGTGACTTGCATACACATTTCCACATTACAGTTTTAGCGTCGGAAGCTTTAAATCGTGGGAACTGACACCCAGAGACGTGTAGTGACTCGCCCAAGGTCACACTGCACGCCGAGGACCGGGGCTGGGTTCCAAGCCAGAAACCTGTCCACCACAAACTGACAACAAAGGGGGTCGGGGCATCTCTTCCGAGGTCCCGCTGCCTCACGGGGAAGTGATCCCCGAGTCTCTTCCCTCCCTCACTCCCTCCTCATTAAAGGGCACGGTGGCCCAGGCAGCGTGCTCACCACAGGGGGCTGCGGCGCGAGCCACGACTAAGGGATAAAACAGAGGTACAGAGGTGTAGCCACGCGGCGGTGGTCGGCTTGGTCCCTCCCCGCCCGGGACCGAACCGGGCCGAGCCACCTCCCTCCGCAGCCGGCACGCCACGCGCCACCGAAGCCGCCGCCGTGCTGCCAAAAAGACCGGGCGGCGAGGGCGGGAAGGAGGCGGGCAGCGGGGGCGGCGGCCGGCAGCTGCGCATGCGCCACCCGCGGGCCGGGCGCCTTCTGCGGGAGCCCCTCCCCGGAAGTGCAGGGTCTTCCGGGCGGTGCTGCGCCGTGGGGGAGGGGAAGGCGAGAAAGGGGACTGAGTGTCCTCTCGAGTCCCTCACCCCAAGCAGGACTAGGAGGGGGAGAGATGGTGTGTGGAGGCTGCACTTACAGCCGCTCCCGCTGCTGCCGCCGCCACCTCCGCTGCTGCCGCCAGCGCCTGAAGCAGCCCCATCCATCCGCCTGCAGCCGGGGAGACTCAGAGCCTGGGAGGGGCCTGGGGCCCGGGCCGCCCGCCTCCTCCTTCTAGTCGTCGTCCGGAGCTTCCTCCGGCTCCACCAACCCTCTGCCCTCCCCTCCGCCTCCGCCCTCCTCCTCGGCCCCTTGCCGCCAGCCAACCGCGCGGCCGCTTGTTGAGCCCGAGCTCCGCCGTCTCCATGACGCCCGGCAAACATCCCGGTGCGCGGCCCGAGCCGCCGACGCCGGGAGTGTGGGCGCAGCCAGGGCCGGGGTGAAGGCCCGCTCCGCTGCCGGCCGCCACCATGTACGTCTCTCCCAACACCAGCGGCCGCAAGCAGCCGAACGTGGGGCTGTAAGTCTCGGCGCTGACACCGTCCCCGAGGGGCCCGCAGCGACCCACCCCGCGATCTGGGGGGAGGGTCTCCTTTCCGCACCCCTCCCACGGCTTACCAGGGAATTGGGGGGGGGGGAGGACACCGTTTCGGCCGTGCTTCCTCCGAGGAAAGCTTGGTTCTTGGGGCGGGGTGCTGGCCTGGCATGTTTGATGCCTTCGGACTGTGCTGAGACGCACTGGTCCGGCGTGTGCGGCACCAGACGGGACGGTTTGTGCCGTCTTTACTTTAAAACTCATCTCTGCGCCCAGCGTTCTGCTGCTCCGCAGCAGTTGGAACGAGGCCAGAGAGCGCGCGGCGCCGGGGTTTGCCTCCCTCACCAGTAACTGTAGCGGGTTCCTTCACTGCCCAGGAAATCGCGCCCAAGCTCCCTGTTGAGCTGCTCCCCCACCCTTCGAGCTCACTTAGGATCTCAAACCCTCAGCGCCTCTCTAGGCTCTCCCGGCTCCGTCTTTTCTTTGCGCATTTTATTGAAAACCCTTGAGAGAACTTTGTATTCTCTAAGATACTCACTCAAGCTTTTGTCCATCCTCTCCTCCACGGAAACGGCTTTTGTGGAGGTCCACAATGGCCATCAGCCAAGTGCAGTGGCCAGTTTACGGTTTCATTGTGCACGACTTTTTTTATCTCATTATCACTAAGTTTTGAAGCACTTCATTCGATTTCAGCAACACTAGTCTTTCCCTGGTTTCCCTTGCTGATAGTCCTTCATCTCCCATAATTGAATACTGCAAGTATTCACAGGGGTTAGTCCTTTAACCTATTCCTTTCACTACGAGGCCTTTGAAAATCATCTTCACCGAAGATTTTACAAGTCTTGAGCTCAAGACAAAATCTCTCCCAAGAAAACACTTAAACATTCAGACATCTGTTTACACAAGTTAGTAAGCATCTTAAAATTCATACCCAAAATTGATTTGTCTCCTTCCCCTTCAGTTTTTTCCCCCCATTTCAGTAAATGGCAGAGTCCACTGTAACTTATGCAGGTGAAAAGCCTTAGAATTACCCATGACTGCTTAGATCCCACTCCATCAGGAAATACTTTTGGGCCTGGCGGCATAGCCTAGTGCCTAAGGGCCTTGCCACGGGGATCCCATATGGTCGCCGGTTCTAATCCCGGCAGCTCCACTTCCTCTCTCTCCTCCTCTTTCTGTAATAAAAATCTAACTATATAAAATATAAATAATAAAATATCTGACTTTGTAATTTAAAAATAAATCTTTAAAAAAAATACTTTCTACCTGCAGCATCAGTTAGGCTACGATTCCTCAGGCAAGTCATTAGCAAGGTGTAGTTGCTGCCTAAGTATAGTCTCTTGCCAAGGCCCTTCATACAGTAATCGTGGTGGCTTCTCTGCTCAAAACCCTGGAACCGTTTCTATTTGAGTAAAAGTTCACATTCTTAAAAGGCCCAGCAGAAGCTGACTTTGAACTCGTCACCCTTGGCTAATTATACTAATTGACAGCATATTGAGCCTGCTGTGTTCCTATTTTGGGGTTTGTGCATTTGCTGTTTATAGATCCTGGAGACTTGTTTTCCGAAATCCGGGACTGGATTGCTTCTCACTCGCATGAATACCCCTGGCTTGTCTTCCTGTTGGCCTGTGGTTTCTCTCCTTGGCTCTATTACCTTCTCTTTATTTCTTTAGGTTTTTATTTTGATGCCGGTTCCTTTATTCTCATCTTCACACAAACATTATCAAATCCAGATCTTCAATTTAAGTGTTCCCTAAAATTCACTTTACTCATGCATTTTCAGTAGATGCAAGACCACTTTGCCAGGGTAATCCTGTGATGTTTAAAATCAAAGATGTCTACAATTTAACCCATTATCACAGTGCAGAAATTTTATCAAGCCTGCTTAATCATTGAACTAACTCAGTTTACAGATTGGGATAGAAACAGAGCAAGACACTTGTCCACGTATGTATTTAACCAATACATTTAGGAAATCAAATTGAACTGTTTGAGTTCAAGTTCTCACACAAGATATGACCATTACACTGGGGGCTTCAGGCAGTTGGTGGAGGGGCCAGGACTGTGGTGCAGAAGGCTAGAAGGGTTCATCCTGCTGCATCAACACCCCGTAGAGGCACCAATTCAAATCCTGGCAGTTCCGCTTCTGATCAGCTCCTGGCGGGGATAGCAGCAGAGGAGGGCCCAAATTCTTGGGTCCCTGCACCCATGTGGGAGCCCCAGAAGAAACTCCTGCTTTAGAATTGGCCCAGGTCAGCTATTGCAGCCATCTGGGGAGTGAACCAGTAAGTAGATTCATTCTCTCTCTTTCCCCTCTGTAACTCCCAGCTTTCAAATAAGAACAAAAAGAGTTCATTGAAAATGAACAATGGCATAAATGAGGGGCTCCGCTTTTATTCCCAGCAATAGGTACTTGGTGATTTCTCAAGATGGCACACTGCAGTCTTACCATCAAGTTAGTAAGCCTATATGCGCAAAATAAATTTATCTTTTAATTCCATTTCCCACAAAGACATCTATGTTCTCTTACATATCTCACATATCAGAAGAAAACTTGAACTGGAAACTGGTACTAGTTCTTTGTAATCTAAATTGTTAAAGGTGTTATCTGAAGTTACCAAGTCCTATTAGTTTTATCGGTTTAAGTGTGTCTAGTGTTTGTTTTCATCAAGTATGGTAAGGAAATTGAAGGAAAAATGATTTTTTAGTTTTGACACGTACAAACTGCTAAAAATAGGAGGCAAGACATGGGGTGAGAGGCAAGAGGAAGCACCAGAATTAGGAGGCCCAAGGAGAGGGCGAGAGCCTTATGGTTGTTTTCTGAGCGATAGCATGGGCAAAACAGTAAGCACTTTCAAAATTGGCTGGCTTGAATACATTTTGTTTAAGATTTATTTTTTATTATTTTTTCATTGGAAAGGCGGATATACAGAGAGAAGAGACAGAGAGGAAGATCTTCCGTCCGATGATTCACTCCCCAAGTGAGCGCAACGGGCCGATGCTATGCCAATCCGAAGCCAGGAGCCTCTTCCGGGTCTCCCATGCGGGTGCAGGTTCCCAAAGCTTTGGGCTGTCCTTGACTGCTTTCCCAGGCCACAGGCAGGGAGCTGGAAGGGAAGCGGGGCTGCCGGGATTAGAACCGGCGCCCACATGGGATCCCGGGCGTGCAAGGCGAGGACCTTTAACCACTTGCGCCACTGCGCCAGGCCCTTGAATACATTTTGAATGGGTTCTGAGAGTAGGCTTCTGAATTTAAGTGTCTGCCTCCTGGAGTGATTAAGGCAGGTGGAGAATGCTCTGGAATGTGAGAACTGTGTGGGTTGCTTGGGTTGTTTAGGAAAGGTATGGATGAAAGCTGGGCTATACTTACCTGTAGAAACACATCTGCCTTGGCAAGGAGATGGAAGGGGCAGTACCTCAGGGCCTCTAAGAACCAAGCTATCAAAGCATCAAAATCAAAACACAGCCAGACAGGTTTAACATGTGCTGTATCTTATATTTGTGTTATTTGTGCATTTACCACAGCATGTTAGTCCTTGATTACTAATCCGTACTAGTATCATGGCATCTTAGTGGCACGATGCTTCTGGTGTGTCCTGTACGCAAGTATATTTTTCTGCATCACAGTTTTGATTATTCTGCTTTAAAAAAAAAAAAAAAACTCAACCTTGCATGTTAATTAAATCCCAAAGGTTTACCTTATTTTTTCCAATCTTGACTTTTTCTTCATGTACTCATTTTTAAGTCTTTTAGAATTTCATGGGTATATTACATTTTTCTACTTTGATTTTTTACAATGATCTTTGGATGCTTTGTCCTGCTCATTACTCCTATTTATCCTCACTTCTACTTCCACTTGCACCAGATACTTACATACCATAACTATACTAATTTTAAAATTGTCATTCTAGGGCCCTAGCGGCTAAAATCCTCACCCTGAACGTTCCAGGATCCCATATGGGCACTGGTTCTAATCCTGGCAGCTCCACTTCCCATCCAGCTCCCTGCTTGTGGCCTGGGAAAGTAGGAGAGGATGGCCCAAAGCCTTGGGATCCTGCAATCATGTGGGAGACACGGAAGAAGCTCCCGGCTTCGGATCAGCTCAGCTCTGGCCATTAAGCCGCTTGGGGAGTGAATCATTGGACAGAGGATCTTCCTCTCTGTCTCTCCTCTCTGTATATCTGACATTGCAATAAAAGTAAAATAAAATCTTTAAAAAAAAAATTGTCATTCTAGGCCCAACCAAGATATTACCATTGTTTCTCTGCTCACTCCACTTGCCATAAGTAACCTAATTGATATA